TTTGGTCGGGGGGAGTTTGCGGAGACGTCCCAAGGCGCTGGACGGTCGGGGATTTGGTCGGGAGGACGTCCCAAGGCGCTGGACGGTCGGGGATTTGGTCGGGAGGATTTAACACTGGTCTGAGTTGTGCACTGATCTGTAGTGTGTGGACCTTCCCAGTTGGCTGTTGTTTCTGCTGAGTTGGTTGTATGTGTATGTACAGGTATTTGTTTTAAGTCGAGGTTCAAGGGAAATGTTCACTGATTGTTTTTTGCTTTGGGATTTCCTTACAGCACTGCTGTGTCATCATGTTCTCAAAATTCAATAATAGAAGACGTGAAGGTAATAATGGAGTGGGGGGGGTGGGGGGGGGCACGGGGTGAAATCCAGCTTCACTTGATCACTTGTCATTGATAAACCAATTGCCCACCTGGGGTGTTATATCCAGCGCTGGACAGAGGGCTCGGCAGGTCTGATCTCATGACACTTTTTGCACTTGGCTGAATGATTAGCTGTGACAGGCAACAACAACAACAAAATTACAGGAGGACTCCCAAGGCGTTGACGGATGAAATCTGCTCAGAGAATTGACAGAAGGGCATTCCGGACAGAGTGTGTGTGTGTGTGTCCACAAACGGCTTCTCCTCTATAGCCCCCACACCGTCTCGCGCGGCGTTCCTCAGGGCTCGGTCCTCGGTCCCCTCCTCTGCGATATCTATCTGCTCCCTCTGGGTGACATCATCCGCAAACATGGGGTCCACTCCCACATGTATGCAGATGGCACCCAACTCTCTGCCTCCACCCTGGACCCCAGGACCCACTGCTGTCCTGACACAATGTCTGTCAGACATCGAGTCCTGTGGATGAGAGATAACTGTCTTCAGTTGAGCGTTAACCAGACCGAGGCTCCTGATTAGCTCTCGTTCCCCTTTTGGTGTTTTTCAGGATTATTATGGAAAAAGGCTGCAAATGTCAGCAGACCTGAAGACGAACGTTTGTGTCACCCCGGCCAGAGCCCTCCCTAAGCACGTGAGAGCCGCCCTGCAAGATGTACACGGCGAAGTGGCCATGAGGTCCGAAAACCATCCTTTCTTTGGCGGAGGGTGGGGGTGGGGTGGGGGGGCTAAACGGACACTCCCAACGCAGTGCTGAGGTGGGGCCGTTGTGTGGTCAGATGTGAAAAAAAAACAAGGTTGGAAATCTGAAGCAAAGGAAAGTCGCCGGGAACGCTCAGCGGGTCAGGCAGCATCGAGGGAGAAAGGAAAGTGAGCCAATGTTTCGGGTCCACGACTATGTCGTGGACCCGAAACATTGGCTCACTTTCCTTTCTCCCTCGATGCTGCCTGACCCGCTGAGCGTTCCCGGCGACTTCTGTCTTATCCCTCCAAACCACTTCATGACCGTTGCTGGGGCTTTGCACACGTGCAAGTTGGTTGCCGCGCTCCCCCCCCCCCCCCACCCCCAAAAAAAACCACACCGGTCAACTCACTTCACAGTGAACACCGTGAAGGGCTTCGGGACGTCCTCCCGACGTGGAAAGCCGCTCGGTACCGAAGGCGAGTATTGTTATTTGGTATTACGCCAAAAGGGCGCTCGGCCACATGTCCTCAGTTTCTCCCCTGAAAATCTGGCACTCCCTCCCTTCAATTCCTTAAGCCTTACCCCCCCCCCCCCCCCGCCCCCCCTCTCACCCCCTCCTCCTTCCTCATCTTCAGACCTTCCTCTTCGTGCTTACGGCCACTGGTTCAGTGTCGTGCTCACTGTCAGGCACTCTGGGAATTGTTCCCGGGGTGAGGGGCGCTGTGGAAATACAAGTTGTCGTGGTCCAAGGGAAAACCTCTCTCGTTTGGCTGTCTGTTGCTGGCAGGTATTATGGGTGTGGGCTCGTGGTTCCCGAATGCCTGGAGAATTGCTGGATCCTGGATCTGGGAAGCGGTAGCGGGCGGGACTGCTACATGCTCAGCAAGCTGGTGGGAGAGAAAGGCCACGTGACGGGTGTAGACATGACTGACGAGCAGGTACTGAGCGCTTTTACTGTTTAATAATAATAATACTCGCATTTAATACATCGCCTTATCACGTTTTTGAGACGTTTCAACGCACTTGACAGGATAGATTGTAAAGTGAATTGATCATGGATTTTATAAGTGAAACGCAGCAGCCAATTGCCTGCAGCAGCGTCCCACAAACAGCCGTGGATTGAATCAGATCCCCGGCTATCTCTGCTCCTCTTCCCGCTCAGCTCCTGTTATCCCTGCGAGCTGAAAGGGTCATTTACCAGACTGTGCTCTAAACAGCAGGCTATGCGGGTTTAGCTGCAGCACTCCCTCTTGCCTGTACCCCCCACCTCCCGCCACCAAGTCTCGGTTCTGTCAACCTGCACCAAATAATCCCCGAAAATTAAGTAAACAAGAAGGATCCCTTCAGGGAGAGAGAAAGAGAGCGTGCATCCCATTCCAGACACAGGTGGAAGTTTCCATCTGGAGTCCCGTAGCGTAATGGTTAGAGCACTCTCCTCGCAAGTGAGAGAACCTGGGTTTGATTCCCAGACAGGGCAAAACCTTAGGCAAGTTTCCTAACTCCGCACCCCTCTGATTACCTAGCAATAAGTAAAGCGTTGTTAGTCGATTGGTGAATTGCTTTCCGGGGTAATAATCCCTTCAAAAAAATAAATAAAAAATGTTTATTCAATCCACGACTGGTTGTGGGAACTGCTGTGTGCAATTGGCTGCTGCATTTTTCCAAAATTGTATATGTATATTTTCAAAAATATACAGTCAATTCACTTTACAATGTATTTTGTGAAGCGCTTTGAGACACGATAAGACGCTATATCAAATGCAATGATGATTATTTGATACTATTATTTGGTAATGTTTTGATATTTTTAAGCATAGTGATGGGTTTCTGTGTGTTTCAGACACGGCTGCACAGTGCTGACTGATTTCCTATATGACTTTACTTCACAGATAGCAGTGGCTCAGAAATTTGTCCAATATCACACGCAGAAATTTGGCTTCAGCAAACCCAATGTGGAGTTCATTCAAGGCTATATTGAGAAGCTTGATGACGTGGGCTTGAAGAGCAACTCCTATGATATCATTATGTAAGCTCTAATGGCTCCCCAGCCCCCACAGAATACAGTTCAACTTCCTCATCCTCGCCTTCGAAGCACTCCACGGCCTTGCTCCTCCCTACCTCTGGACTGCTAAATCCATATCGTTCCCTCCGCTCAGCGGGTTCTGGCCTGCTCGTGTCCTCTGCCCATCCCACCATCAGCGGTCAGGCCTTCAGCCGCTCTGCCCCCACCCTTTGGAACTCCATCCCACAGTTTCTTCACCTCGGCCCCTCGCTTGCCTCCTTCAAGGCCCGTCTCAAGACCCTTCTCTTCAACCGTCCTACTACCCTCCCTGCCTTCCACCATCCCCAATCCCAACCCTCAGCTCGGGTCCAAATCCTTGACTGTCCAGCGCCTTGGGAGGTCCTCCTGATATGAAAGACGCTGTACAAGTTAATTTGTTGTTGCTGTTAGCAAGCATAAAATATCGTCCTTGTTATCCCAAAAATAGGGATTTACAGTATTTATGTTTCATCTTTGTTATGAAAAAAATATTTTTTTGTTTCTTTTGAGTACAAAACTGTTGCCTTTTTTTAACTAAAATCTTTTAGTGTTTAGTGGATTAGGAATTCCGTTCAGCCCTGCGCTGGGGGTAAAAATTTGGTCACTCAATCCACTTTTGTTTGTGGGATACTGCTGTGCGCAATCCACAGTCAATACACTTACAGTATACAGTACAGTATACAGTATATCCTGTGAAGTGCTTTGAGACATCTCGACGACGTGATAAGGCGCTATATCAAATGCAAAGATTATTATTATCCAAATGAGTCTTAAGAGCTGACAAGAGTAGAACTCTTTGCCCCCTGTGTCCTGAGGATGTCTTCACTCCTTTCAGATCAAACTGTGTGGTGAACCTGTCGCCTGACAAACTGTCTGTCCTGAGAGAGGCTTATCGAGTGTTAAAGGTAAGCATTCCAACCAGCCTTCCCGAATATCTTTCCTCACACCTCTGCATTTCGGGATTAAGTGACCAGTGTGTTTGGGGATGGAAACAAGCCATTCGGCCCAATGAGTCTGTGCTAGTGTTTATAATAATAACAATAATCCTTGTATTTGATATAGCGCTTTTCACGTCTTCTAGACATCTCAAAGCGCTTCACAGAATATGTTGTAAATTGAATTGACTGTATATTTGTGGGTGAAAACCTAAGGCAAGTTTCCTTACTCCACACGCCTGTTTACCTGACAGTGAGTAGGGACCTGGTTGTTGGTCGATTGGCAGATCAGTTTTTTGAGGTAATAATCCCTTTAAAAAAGGTCACTCAATCCACAGCTATTTGTGGGACACTGCTGTGCGCAATTGGCTGCCACGTTTCATCCACAAAATATACATTCAATTCTTTTTATGCTGTAGCCCGTGAAGCGCTTTGAGATGTCTCAATGTTCGTGATAAGACTCTACATCAAATGCAAGGATTATTATTATTATTAGATTGACGGTCAGCTCCCACTGCTCAGCGGGCTCTGGTCTGCTTTACAACCCCGCCTTACCCCCTCTCACCATTGGCGGGCGGGCCGTCAGCCTCTCTACCCACATTCTCTGAACTCCATCTCACAGTCCCTGTGCCTCGCCCCCTCCCCTGCCTCAAGACCCTCCTCTTTGACCGGGCCTTGGTCACACTCCTACCCCTCCCCTCCCTGCCCTGCACCCCTTCTGATCCCAACCACCAGCTCGGGTGCGTGTCCAGCGTCTTGCGACATCCTCCTGACATGGAAGCTGCTGGGAATGTAATTTGTTGTTGATGATGATTTAAGTGGTAGTCACAAATTAAGCCAGGGTCGAGTTGTCAAGCGTTTACTGTATTAAGTGCTCCGAGATGCTGCCTTGTGTGATGGGTGCTGTATAAATGTGAGTTGTTGTTGGTGTGGTTAGTAACCTGAGGTGGTTTACCTGTCAATAGAACGGAGGTGAAATGTACTTCAGTGACATCTACAGTGACCGGGAACTTCCTGAGAAGATGAGAAAACACAAGGTTTTGTGGGGTAAGCGCATGGCCACTGTGCACTCACCTTATTTCAGGTCAGGCAGATGCTGATGTGTCTCGTCTGAAGACCTTCCTCTTCGATCGTGCCTACGGTCACCTCCTCCCTCCCACTGTCTCAGTGTCATGCTACACCACCACCGTCAAGCGCTCTGAGATGTACTGCACTGCATGTGGGGCGCTGTATAAATGCAAGTTGTTGTACTGACCGCCACTGGCTCCCGTTTCCTTACTCCCTCTGTGTGTAAATGGGATTAAACAAGTAAACCCAGAACAGTACTTTAGGATGGAACAAGACAGTTTAGAACAAGAGGATACAGGTTTAGAGTTGCAAAGAGCAATTTGAGGACAGACACCAGGAAGTTTTTCTTTACCCAGAGGCTAAGGACTCCGTGGAGTCCTGTAGCTCAGTAGTTATATTACTCGCCTCGCAAGCGATTCCCGGGCAGGAGGGCAAAATGTTAGGCAAGTTTCCTTACTCCACAAGCCTCTGTTTACCTAGCAGTAAGTGGGAACCTGGTTGTTAATCGATTAGTGGATCACCCTGTAATAATCCCTTTTAAAAGCACATGTGGTCACTCGTCCACGACTGTTTTCCGCATTTCGGGGTATTCTGGAGGAATGAGATTGTATGGGATGAAGAGCCTTGGGATGTCCTCCTGACTTGAAACGCGCTTTACAAATGTAATTTTGTTGTTTTGTTGTTATTCATCCAAACCAACCTTGTGTGAAATTCACCCCCCCCTGTGAACGCTCTGCAGGTGAGTGTCTGGGTGGAGCTCTGTCGTGGGAGGAGTTGGTCCGAATTGCCAAGGAGGTGGGGTTCAGCACCCCCAGGCTGACCACCGCCAAACTCTTTGATGTGAACAATAAAGAGCTGGAGGAAGTGATTGGTAAGCAGAGAGCATTTTACTGTGTGAGCGCCGCACACAGGTGGACTCCCAAAAGCCCAAGTGGCCTGGAATTGTAACCCTCCTGCTCCCTCCGCTCAGTGGACTTCGGCCTGCTCTGTCCGAAGGCATGGGTAAAGAGGAAGGTCTTAAGATAGGTCTTGAAGGAGGCAAGGGAGGCAACGGGACTGTGGGATGGAGTTCCAAAGTGGGAACAGAGGCTGAAGACCCAACCGCCAATGGTGGGGTGGGCAGAGCGGGGGATGTGGAGCGGGCCGGAGCCCGCTGAGTGGAGGGAGCAGACAGGTTGACAGGCTTTGAAGGTGAGGACGAGGATTTTGAACTTTATCCTCTGAGGGATGGGGAAACAGTGGAGTCAGGCGAGGGTGGGGTGGGCGTGATGCGGTCACAGAGCCTGGTGCGTGAGAGGATACGAGTTGCAGAGTTCTAGATGATCTGCAGCTTATGGAGGGAAGAGTTCGGAAGTCCGACAAGCAAGGAGTTGGAGTAATTGAGCCTAGATGTGATGGAATGATGGATGCGGGTTTCAGCAGCCTGAGGGTAGAGGCAGTGGCAGAACTGGATGATGTTGTGGAGATGAGGGAAGAGTGAGTCTGCCAAGGTTCTGGACTGGGTTAGTGAGGGGGAGTGAGCCCCATGGACGGTGATGCTGTCAGCACCTGAGGTGAGGAGGCGCTGACGGGAGCCAATCAGGAGAGCCTCGGTCTTGTTGATGTTCAACTGTGGAAAGTTCTCTCTCATTCAGGACTTGACGTCTGACAGACATTCTGTCAGGACAGCAGTGGGTCCTGAAGTCAAGGGTGGAGGCAGAGAGGGAGAGTTGGGTGTCATACGCATCCATGTGGGAGTTGACTGTCTGCAGATGATGTCACCAAGAGGAAGCATATAGATATTGAAGAGGACAGAGCCCTGAGGAAAAACTGCACAAGACTTTGCAGGGACTAGAGGAGAAATTGTTTGTAGAGATAATGTGGAGATGGTGTGAGAGGTACGATCTGAACCATTCCAGGACAGAACCATGAAGGTTGAGGTAAGAGGAGATGCGGTGGAATAGGATAGAGTGGTCGAAGGTGTCAAAGGCAGCAGAGAGGTCAAGGAGGAAAGAGTGAGACCGAGTCTGGTTTCAGATGGACAGAATATCTGAAACCCGATTGGAGGGGTTCGTGAAGAAGGTGGCGGACGAGGAAGGAGTGAAGCTGGGAAGCAACTACTCATTCCAGGACCAAGGAAAGGGAGGTTGGAGATGGGTTGGTAGTTTGGGAGTAGAAAAACCCAGGAAGGGTTTTTTAAGGATAGGGATGATGATGACGGTTTTTAATAGGGTTGGAAGAGTACCAGTGGACAGGGAGAGGTTTATGATGTCTGTGAGTAGCGGGGCAAGGAAGTGGACCTGGGAAGCAAGGAGAGGGGTAGGAATGGGGTCGAGGGAGCAGATGGTCGGTTTCATGTGGGTTATAGTAGTCATGAGAGGAGGGGGAGACAGGTTCGAAGGTGTGGAGGGAGGGAGGGTTGGGTAGGGCCAGCCTGTGACGGGGAGATGGGAAGGGGGTGGTTGGGCAGGCAGAGGTGGCTGAGCGGATCCCCTCGATTTTGTCCAGCATCTCCTCGCGGTTGGAGTTGTGACATGATAAGGACATCAAATGCATTATTATTATTATTAATTTCACTGTGTGTGCTTTGTAACACTAGCTGCTTCAGATCATCTGCAGTGTTTCAGGAGTGTTGGTTGCAAATCTACAGTGGGAATTTAATCCAAATAAGCCTTGGCTGCCTTCCTGCACTTAGACCTTGAACAATGAGCACTCTCACCCTGTCCTTTCAGCCGCTAGATAAATAACCTAGCCTTCGTGTGATTGTGAGCGTTACCTTTAATGTATAAAGTTCAGGGATAAGTTATATCTCCGAAGCCTTGAAGATCTAAAGACGGCATAAAGATAACCACAGAATCCAGTTAACTGTTAGCTAGAATTCGTAAGCAGCGATCTGAAGTTGTGGGAGAGCTTCACACAGTCCTTTGTGATTGTGCAGATGAGAATTAAGCGTATTTAGTCTTGTCCTTTGGCATTCATTTCAAGACGTTCTGCAAGAATTTTAGGTCAAATTCTCTAGTAGCGGGTGTGGATAGCAGCAAACTGATGATAAATGCTAAATAATAATAATTATTAGCCTTGGATTGGTCTACATGCCTAGGGAAGGACGTCTCAAATAGCTTCACCAGAATTGCTGTCAGGCGTAGTGACTGTGTTTTCTAGGCAGATGCAGCAGAGAATTTGCACAGAGCAATGCCCCATAAACAGCCAAGAATGACAGATTTTATCCGGGTTGGGGCGGGGGGAGGTGTGGCATTGTGGGAGGTGCCATCCTTTGGATGAGATATTAAACTGAGGTCCCATCTGCCTGTCCGAGTGGATGTTAAAGACCCCGCGGGAGTTTGTCCCTCACAGTGTCCTGGCCGACAATCAATCCCCCTCCCAAATAAAACTGTTGATTCATTTCACAATTGTGGACATTGCTGTGTGCAACTGGGCTGCGGTTTTCACCTACACCTACACAGTCACTCCACCTCGCACTGAATCCAGAGAAGCGTTGTGCCAAATGTAATGAAGTTGGGTTACCTAGTTTGATGTGATTAAGAGGCTATAAAAATGAATGTTTCTTCACAATCTGTATTCTCGATCCCCTCCCTCCCTACCTTAGGTGATTACAAGTTTGTGTCTGCTACGTATCGCCTGTTTAAAATCCCAGCCCACGATTCAAAGGAGGAATTGCAGGTTATTTACAATGGCTCAATCGCAGGCTGTGAGGGGAAACTGGAGTTTGATGCCAATTACACATTTGAAGTAAGAATCAAAGTTCAGATAAGCAATAATTACAGCTTGATTTATATAGCCCTATGTCAGGGTAGAGGGTTGGAGGCTGAACAATGGCGGACTTTGTATTCGAGCCGGGGGATTGAGATTAGATGCAAGTGATTGTTGTTCTTGTGGTTGTTGAAGTGATGTCCGTCGCTGAAGTTACAACCTGGAAGTCAGCCATTATTATAGTCGAAACGAGCGATCAAAATGTAAACTCTGCAAAAAGTGAAACAAACGTCTATTATGCATATAAAATTCCTGTAACATAGTGGTTACATCACTCACCTCGCAAGCGAGAGCACCTGGGTACGATTCCCGGGCAGGGCAAAACATTGGACAAGTTTCACCACACACCTGAGACGTCTCGAAGACGTGCTAAGGCGCTGTATCAAATGTAAGGCTTATTATTACTATTATTGATCGTGTTCTGTTGCACAGGAAGGGGAGGTGATGGACGTGGATGAGGAGATGGCAATGATTCTCAAGAGTTCGAGGTTTGCCGATAAATTTACAATGCACCCAGCCAACAAGGTGGCCAGCGGAGAAGCAGGAGGCAGAGCGAGGCAGCCCAAGGTAATTGGTCCGCAAATCTGTTTCACAGTAACAACAATCCGTGCATTTGATGCAGCGTTTTCACGTGTGGAGAGGGGCCTCACAACAACTACTCTCCTTTATGTAATGCCCTTTAAGAGTCTCGGAGCACCTAACAGTGACGGAGCCTGACTCCGAGACGGGGGGAGGTAGGAAGTGACTGTAAGCACGGTCGAAGAGGAAAATGAGGGGGGAAGGCGAAGGGACTGGGGCAGAGAGTTCCAATGCTGTGGGGCATAGAGGCTAGAAGCACAGCCACTGATGGTAGAGTGGAGGGAATGAGGGACAAGCAGGAGGCCAGAGCCCCCAGATATATCAGATACTCCCCCAACTTGGGTCCAAATCCCTGAATGCCCAGCGCCTTGGGACATCCTCCTGACACAAAAGGTGCCGCGTAAATGTAATTTGTTGATGCTGCTGTTGTGTCTCCATGATATTTCTGTGTGGAGAGTAATAATGAATTGGGCAACGGGAGATTTAACTATTTTCACTGTGTTCACTTTTGTTTTAAGTGTTCTTCATTGTTCACCTTTAGCAAAGTGACCCCAAAAGCAGTCTAACCACAGATAGAGCACATTTGCCTTTGCATTTTAGCCATAACCAATTCAAATAGTACAGTGTGTGTAGTCTTGAATTATATCTAATAATCCTTGGATTTGATAGAGCACCGTATCACAACATTGGGCTGTCTCAAAGCACTTCACAGAATATATTGTCAAGTGAATTGACTATATTTGTGGGCAAAACGTGGCAGCCAAATGTGCACAGCAGTGTCCCACAAGTAATCATGGATTGAGTGACCACTTTTTGCGGGGGGGAGGGATTATTACTCCCAGAACGTGATCCAGTTTCCTACTTACTGCTGGGTAAACAGGCGTGTGGAGTAAGGAAACTTGCCTTGGGTTTTGAACCCAGGTCCTCTCGCTTGCAAGTCGTGTGCTCCATAACCCCTACGCTGTGGGTCTTCCCTTATATATCTATTCATAAGTAAGTCTAGCTTTAAACTATTTTAACTTTATAACTATTGATAACCAACCTGTTCTATGCTGCTTCTTTGGAAATGGTGTCTGGTCCGGTTCTCTGAATGCACATTGCTGTGACCTTGCATGTTGGGGTCTGTTCAGCACAGCTGCAGGTGGTGCTTGTTAGTCATGGCCCTGTGCCCTTCACCAGCAGCTGTTAGCCGTTGTTATCATTCTCTGTGTGATTTGCTGCCCTTTTCTGTGAGGGAGCTGGATCCTCGCAAACCATTTGCCAAAAAGCTGTCATTCCTGAATACACAGGGATCGGGCGGGAGTTGGTTGAGCAATTCTCTGGGAATCAGTTGAGATGTATTGTCAGGCAATATCTGAGTACTGGACTAACATTGCATCTGATCTGTGCTGATGTTAATCATGGTCCTTGTATTTGATACAGCGCCTTATCACGACTTTGAGACGTCTCAGAGTGTTTCATAGGATATGCTGTAAAGTGAATTGACTATATTTTGTGGGCGAAAAGTGGCAGCCAATTGCGAACAGCAGCAATGCTTTTGAGACGTCTCATAGATGTGAAAAGGTGCTACATCAAATGTAATTTGTTGCTGTTGATAAGGTTAATTATAATTTAGCGTTAAAGAAAATCCCCTGAAGCAGTCCCATTATTTCACTCTGTGGGTGGCGGCGAAGACTTGGGTTCAGGGTCAGGAAGAGATAGAAGAGAATGTACAGATGATATGAAATACTGCAGTCTATCGGGGCTGTTGCCTTGTGAAGCGATATTGAGGCAAGTGCTGCAACCCATCGATAAAGGCATTGTCATTATGGCCCTGATTAGAACAAAACTGTTTGTTCTGTACTTTCTCTTTCCTTGAGGCAGTCGCTGCAACCACCACACACACCATATGTTACACACCACTAGCCACACATTACACACCACACACACACGCAACTGTTTGTGGGACGCTGCTGTGTGTAATTGCTCCTGCATTTCACCCACAACATATACTGTCAATTCACTTTACAGTATGTTCTGCGAAGCACTTTGTGACGTCTCGAAGATGTGATAAGGCGCTATATCAAATGCAAAGATTATTATTATTATCATGTTGAAGTTGGGCAGTGCTGTGGTTATGGAGGCCCAACCCATTGGTGAGGGACTGTCCAGGGTTTTCTCAATCCCCTTTTGGATCTGACCACATTGTTTGGGAGAAAGAAAGAGAGAGCGCACACGGAGTGGGAAAGTTAAGCAACATTTTAGATTTCGGAGTCGGTAACTAACCTACTGCATCAGAGCCCCCTGTTACACAACTGAGGGTAGGATGGGGCAGGTCTCCTCCCTCCTCAACAACACAAGCCCCCACTTTAGTATTTTGAACTTGGCCAGTGCAGTACTGGAGAGAGTGCTGTATTGTGGGGGGTGCCGTCCTTTGGATGAGACTTTAAATCAAGGTCCCGTCTGCCTGTTCAGGTGGACGTTAAAGATCCTGCGGCGCTAATTAAAATGGGAAAGGAGTTTCTCTCGATGTCCTGACCGACAATTCCCCAAATAAAACTGGTTATTCGCTTCACGGTTGTTTGTGGGACATCACTTCAAATACACTTTACAGTAAAATCCTGTGAAGAGCTTTGAGATGTCCTCCTGACATGACGGGCACCGTGTCAAAGCCAGAGATTGCTGTTGGTGTTCATCACTTTTGTTACAGGATTTAATTTCTCTCTCTTTCTTTCCCCTCCTCCTCCTCCCTCCCATCCTCTCCCATCCCCTCTCCCCTCCTCTCGCATCCTCCTCTCCCTTGCTCTCCCATCCCCCCCCCCCCCCCCTCCTCTCCCCTGTCTGCTACTTTAGGACATGATCATTGACCCTTTCAAATTCACGGAGATAAAACCATCTGGAGGTGCCCCGCCTGTTGCTGGCTCTTGCTGTGTCACCAAAGGCTGTTGCTGAAGATGTTCAGGCAATGATTAAATTTAAACAAATGGTACGCAGATTAATTAAATTGGGAAGTTTTGATTATTTGTGTAGCTGGTTAAGCCGGACATGCCGGGATCGGAGAATTTGTTCGTCTTAAGCGGATAAAGAGTTGTATGAATTAACTGGCGTGTCTAAAATAGGTAAATTAATTGGGGGCCGGGCGTTTTGTTCAATTTATTCAGAATCCGATCAACGTTAATCAGCATCCAGCTTAACGGCTTCCACGATATATAGCATATATGTACACACGTATATAGATAGATATATCCAGGCTTTAATCTCCTGAACCAATGACCCCATCTGCCTCTCAATGAAAACTTGCACTAACTGTGTCGTTCATTTGAGTGATAACAGTGAGTGTTGGCAAAGCACTATAACAACACAGAGTGTAGATATGTAGGTGAAATCGCTATAGTTTTGTTACCCCCTAAATACCTTTTAAACCCCCCTTCTCACTGCTCCCAATTCCCGGACATGTGTTGCATTGTGTTTGTATGTGTGTGCACACATCACGCAACAATTCTGGGTACTTCAGTCTTGTCCGAAAGGGATGGAGTGCGGAGTCTGGCTGTCATGTCCAAGGCGAAGGTGGGCAAACAATCTCCACTGGGACAGTGAGTGGATTAGTGAGTGGGGCAGTATAAGTGGGTAAATGACATGAACCCTCTATTCTCTACCAGCTCCCCCAAACTTTGTCCATGATGGTGTGCATATTGTGGCATTCAGCGCTGGCTGTCCAGCAGCAGCCACCCATTCACCTTCAAGCCACCCCGGAGGTTAACCTCTCCTCCCTCATCCGCATCCCCACCCTCCCTCCCAACCAACCCACGACCCCCTCCCATCCCACACATCACCCTGCCAACTGTCCACTCTGCATTGGCCTTCAAAACTTCCGCTCCATCTCCAATAAGACCCTGGCCGTCAATGAACTCATCCTCGATGAGAACGTTGACATCATGGCCCTCATGGAAACCTGGATCACCCCAGGCGACACCTTCACCCTCACTGAGGCCACACCACCCGGCTACACCTACCACCGTGCCCCACGCCCCGACTGCCATGGTGGTGGTGTGGCCCTCATATCCAGGGCCTCACTTGCCCTATCCCCCTACTCCGCTGGCTCATTCCCCTCTTTTGAACACCTTACCCTCTGCCATCCCTCCCGTCTCTCACCAAAAATTCTCCTAACTTACCGCCCCCCAAAATCCTTCCCCATTGTCATCTCTGACGTCTCCACCCTTCTAGCTTCCCTCTGCCTCTGCTCCGACACCTCATCATCCAAGGCGACTTCAACTTCCACTTCACCCCCTCCTGCTCCACCTCCTCAGACTGCTCTCCTCTCTCAACCTTTCCCTCCACATCCACTCTACTGCCACTTTCACGGACACCCGCTCGACCTGGTGATCACCCGGGGCCTCAGCGTCTCGGATATCACCATCACCGATGGCCATCTCTGACCACCATTTCATCTCCCCCAACTCCTATATCCCTCTCCCCACTGCCTCCAAACCTACCACCATCTTCTACCGCAAGTGGAAGAAGATCTCCCCGCAGTCACTCTCTGCTGTCCTGGAGTCCTCTGATCCCCTCCCCCTCTGGCCCACCTCTCGCACCAACCCTCGATGCGTTTACTCTTCTCCCACAAGCACCCTCTCCACCACACTTGACACCCTGCCCCCCTCACCTCCCGACCTCCCTCCTATTCCCGATCCTCACCCTGGACCACCAGCCACCTCCGCTCGCTTAAGGGCGAGGTGTGGCTGCCGAACCCACTTGGCTCAAATCCGGCCTAACGGTCCACCGGCACATCTGGCTGGACTTCATCAAGACCTCCCTCTCTCTCTCTCTCTCTCTCTCGCCTCGGCCAAATCATCCTTCTATTCCAGGTTAATCCTGGTGGCGAAGGGCAATCCCAGGGTCCTGTTCTCCACCACCAACCGGCTCCTCCGCCCTCCCCGACACGCCTCGCAGATACTTTCCTCTGACTCTCACTGCGAGGAAATGCTGGACTTCCTCGAGTCCAAAATCGAGGGAATCCGCTCAGCGGCCACTGCCCTCCCAACTTCCACCCCCTCCCTAACCCCCACCCCACACGACAATCCCATCCGACAATTATCCATCCCTCCTTCCACACCTTTGAACCTGTCAACCCCTCCTCTGTCTTCACCACCATAACCTCCATGAAGTCCACCACCTGCTCCCTGGACCCCATCCCTACCCCTCTCTTAAATCCCAGCTCCACCTCCTGTCCCACTACTCGCCGACATCATTAACCTCTCCCTGTCATCTGGCACTGTTCCTTCCCCCTCAAAACAGCCACTATCACCCCCACCTTGAAGAAACCTTCCCTTGACCCATCACAGCTCTCAGGCTACCGGCCCATCTCCCACCTCCCTTTCCTACTCAAGGTCCTTGAGAGAGCCGTTTGCTCTTTTCTCTCACTCCCTCCATGAACGGGTTTCCGTGCGGCCCACAGCATGTGTGACCAGGGCTCCCCTCATCCTCCTCAACTTCTCCGCCGCCTTTGACACTGTGGACCACTCAATCCTCCTCCACCGCCTCTCCTCCCACCTCAACCTTCAAGGTTCTGTACTTGACTGGTTTAGGTCCTACCTTTCACACCGCCTCCAATTCGTTGCAGCAAACAGCTTCTCCTCCAGCCCCCGCACCGTCTCGGATGGTGTTCCTCAGGGCTCTGTCCTCGGTCCCCTCCTCTTCACCCTCTACATGCTCCTGCTTGATAACATCATCCGCAGACATACGGTAAATTTCCACATGTATGTGGATGACACCCAACTCTATCTCTCTGTCTCCACCCTGAACTCCAGGACTGGCGTCCTGACCGACTGCCTGTCCGACATCAAGTCCTGGACGAGGGGCAACTTTCTCCAACTGAATGTCAGCAAGACCGAGGCCCTCCTGATTGGCTCGCGCCAGCGCCTCCACACCTCGTGCGCTGACAGCATCAGCATCCATGACTGTACACTCAACCTCACTGAGCCAGTCAGGAACCTGGGGGTCTTGTTTGACCCTGAACTGTCCTTTCTCCCCCATATCCGCGCCATGAACGGCACTGCCTACCACCACCTCCGCAACATTGCCAGACTCCGCCACTGCCTCACCCCTCAGGCCCCCAAACCCTCACCCACACATTCGTCACAACAAGGCTCGATTACAGGAACTCCCTCCTCATCGGCCTTCCCACATCTTCCCTTCACAAGCTGCAGATCATCCAAAACTCCGCAGCTCGTGTACTCTCACGCACCAGGCTCCGTGACCCCATCACTCCCACCCTCGCCCAACTCCACTGGCTCCCCATCCCCCAGAGGATCGAGTTCAAGTTCCTCGTCCTCAATTTCAAGGCCTTCCATGGCCTCGCCCCCTCCTACCTCTCTGACCTGCTGACTCCCGACCAAACTGCTCGCTCCCTCCGTTCAGCCCTCCACACTCTGGAACTCTATCCCATGGTCCCTTCGCCTCACTTCCTCCCTCGCCTCCTTCAACGCCCGTCTCAAGACCCTTCTCTTTGATTGTGCCTTTGGTCGCCTTCCCACCTCTCTACCATCCCTTACCCCTACACCATCCCTCCCCCATGCTTGGGCCCCAACACCTGACTGTTCAGTGCTTTGGGATGTCCTCCCGACATAACTATAAATATCCTCCCGACATCCTATAAATGTAATTTTGTTGTTGTTGTAAAGTGCTGTGAACTGCTTTCATTAGAGAGATCTCACACCTCCTTGTTCTTTGCCACATACACACAGGTGAGGGTGAAAATATTCTTGGGAGGAGTGAATTTGAGTAAAAATCAGTTAAAGGAGTCCTGTAGCTCAGTGGTTAGAGCGCTCGCCTCGCAAGCGAGAGGACCCGGGTTCAATTCCCGGGCAGGGCGAAACCTTAGCCAAGTTTCCTTATTCGACTGGCCTCTTTACCAGTAGTAACTTGGAACCCGGTTGGTAGGCGATTGGCGGATTGTTTTCCGGGGCTAAGAATTCCTTACAAATAAAATCTGGTCACTCAATCCATGACTGTTTGTGAGATGCTGCTTTTGCCCTCTGCTGTCTGAGTTTCGCCCTCTATTGACTTGAGTGTCTGAGTGTCGCCCTCAACTGTGTGAGTGTCTCCCTCTACTGTCTGAGCCTCTAAGTGTCGCCCTCTAATGTCTGAGTGTCGCCCTCTACTGTGTGAGTCTCTCTCTACTGGCTGAGTGTCGCCCCCTTCTGTCTATCACACTCGATGCCATGACTTGCTCATGAACAACAGCCACTTGGGTCAGATCCAAGAGAGTAACCTGCTCCTGTGAACCCACATCCCAGCAGCATGATAATTGTTGATGAACGAAGACCAAGGTCCATGCAGTTCGCCCCTCACCATCCTGGCAATCGCTTGCAAAGGCAATTGCTAGGAAAGTGGAAAATTAGAAACAAGATTTCCACCATCCAGGCAAAATTAGAAAAAAGTAATTGGACTCGCTAACTTTATTTGTTCCCCCCAAAAACTGCACAATGTTAAAATGTAAGGCTGCGACTTAGGATTTCCAGCTCCTTTCACGCTGTGATTTGGGATTTCAACCCTGCCCATTTTACTGTACCAAAGGGAGCAACGGCCGACAGCCATTTCACCTCAGCTAGACTTAAAGGGCTGTTACATTGAAGGGGGAATGAAAAGGCTGTACATGGTCTTTAGAGACTGACACTCCAATGCAGTGCTGGAGAGCTTTGCAATATCAGAGGTGCTGTTTGGCAGTTGCTCCCTTTCGTACAGTAAAACGGGCTGTGTTGAAATCCTGTCTGGAGGGCGCTATATAAGTGCAAGTTTGTTATATCAAAGTGCTATATCAAATGCAAGTATTATTATTAAATAGTCCGTGCCTGTGTTTATACTCTACATACTCTATTCTCTATTCTCTGTTCCAGTTTTGTTAAGGGGATGCGATGGCAGGAATGTCGGTGGATTTGCTGAAGTTTCACATTGACGCCCCACGCTGGGACCAGAGCACGTTCATTGGGAGGGTCAAGCACTTTTTCAACATCACTGACCCACGTACGGTGGTCGTGTCGAATACGAGGCTTGATCAGGCCAAGGCTCTGGTGGAAAGCTGCAGGTCAGCAGGCTATTGGCCATATGTAGTCCTGTAGCTCAGTGGTTAGAGCACTTGCCTTGCAAGAGAGTGGACCTGGGTTTGATTTCCGGGCAGGGCGAAACGTTGGACAAGTTTCCTTACTCCACATGCCTCTGTTTAGTGATCGCTTTCCGGGGGTAATAATCTCTCAAAAAAAAATCAAAAAAAAATAATAATAATAATTTGGTCATTTAATCCACGACTGTTTGTGGGACTCTGCTGTGCGCAATTGACTGCCGCGTTTTGCCCACAAAACCTACAGTCAATTCATTTTACAGTATATTGTGTGAAGCCCTTTGAGAAGTCAGTAAGACGTGATAAGGTGCTATATCAAATGCAAGGATTATTATATAACTGTGGTCTCCGTGGATGTTTCTATCAAACACTTGAGGACAAAATAGGATTCCCGGTGTCTCCTGGCCAACAGTCCCTCAAATAAAAAGTGGTTGTTATGGAATGTTGCTGTGCGATGGGAATACTATCTTGTGTAAGGACTTGGGCAATTTGGCTGCTCACAAAAACACAATCACTGCACTTTATAGTATATTCTGTGAAGCGCTTTGAGATATCTCGATTACATGCTAAGGTGCTATATCAGATGCAAGAATTATTATTGCTACCAAATAATAATAATTATGACACGGTGACATCTCAAAGCTTCACAAAACATAATGTAATTCCAGGCAGAGGGCGAAACCTTGGGCAAGTTTCCTTACTCCACACAGCCTCCAAATCCCTCCAAAACCAATAAAATAAAACCAATAATCCCTGCAAAACCAAAAACAATAATAAATTGGTCATATTCAATCTACGACTGTTTGTGGGACATTGTGGGCGTAATTGGCTGCCGCGTTCGCCCACAAATATACAGTCAATTCACTTTACAGTATATTCTGTGAAGTCTGGAAGACTTGAAAAGCGCTACATCAAATGCAAGGATTATTATTATTATTATTTAGTGGGTGAAACGCGGTAGCCAAATGAGTCCAGTGTCCTACAAACAGTCATGGATTATACACAAGTCACTACACAGTACGGTGTTCTCTGTGGAGCGTGTGAAACATTTTGACTTTAGAGGCGGGCTACCAAACTATTACAATACAACACAAATTTGTATTGATTTATTATCTTTCTTGGAAACAATCATAATGTGATTTTGTGGGAGTGCTCTGGGACTCTATCCTGCATGAGGGGCACTATAAATGTCCAAGTTGTTGTTGTTTCCTAGGGCCGGCACTCTGCCCCCGGGTACGACGTTGGAGCAGCTGCACTATGCCAAGAAACTATATGATTCTGCTTTCCACCCCGACAGTGGGGAGAGGATGAACCTGATCGGGAGGATGTCATTTCAGGTGCCAGGGGGAATGGCCATCACTGGCTTCATGCTCCAGTTTTACAGGTTCGTCAGTGTTTGTGGTTATGCCTACAAAATACACAGTCACTTCGCGTTACAATATATCCTGTGAAGCGCTTTGCGATGTCCCGACACAAAGGTAAGTGTTATTATTAGTATTATTGTGGTCAGCCGAGTGTCGCGACCCATGCAGAAACTCATCAACAACAACAAAAAAAATTACATTTGTATAGATATATATTATATATTGTATACACATATAATATACATCACCGGGCTTAATATTTGTCTCCAAACCAGACTGAGAGATTCCACATATGTATGCCATATGTGGGAATTTCTCTGTGCCTGATGTGACATGTGCATTCCCTCTCAAACCAGCCCCACCTTATCTCTTCCCCCCCCCCCATCTCTTCCGTTTCCCCCCCCCTTAAGTCCTCTGCTTGCACCCATTGCCTTCATCCAAGCGCTCTGAGACGCTACCCTACGTGAAGGCTGCTTGTTTAACAATTTTTCTACTTCTCTCTCAGGACGGTGCCTGCTGTGGTGTTTTGGCAGTGGGTGAACCAATCCTTCAATGCCTTGGTCAACTACACCAACAGGAACGCAGCATCACCCATTAGTGCAACGTAAGTGCCAATATTCCAGTTACTCTTCCTTTTTTTCTTGTTTCTTTGTTTGTTTCCCTCTGCCTCTCTTTTTCTCTCTCTTTCTCTCTCTTTCTCTCTGTCTCTCTTTCTCTTTCCTTTCTCTCCCTCTCTCTTAATTTCACACATTTTTTTGTAAAACAAGAAGTTCTGATGCTGAGACTTGCTCTTGAACGCTTTGGGGCGTCCTCCTGACGTGAAAGACTCTATACAAAGGTAGTCTGCTGTTGCACTAATCAACTCTCTGTCTCACTGTCAATAGACAATTGGGAGTAGCGTATGTGACTGCGACTAGCACTGCCCTGGCAACCGCAGTTGGGCTGAACCTCTACACAAAGGTACAGAAATGATTTGCAGGGAGTTACTGACGCTTTATGGATTTACCAAATTATGAGGTGAAAATTGTGATGTCTTATCAGATATTAATTGTCACATCTGTGGAGCGTCAGCTGGTATTGGGTCATGATGGGCAACTCAACTGCTTCTGTCCTCCCCCAATGCTAGGCTGAGGGTTTTGCCCCCTAGTGACCGACTGTGTCCCATTGCCTTCATCCAAGTGCTCTGAGACGCTACCCTACGTGAAGGCTGCTATATAAAGGCTAATCCTTGACTGGCCAACGCTTTGGGACGTCCTCCCGATGTGAAAGGCGCTGTACAAATGTCATTTCTTATTGTTGTTGCATTGCTGTGAATAGTACCCTGTACTATGTTATAGTTGTCAGAAGTTAGAGAATTGCTGACTTTTTCCCCCACAGTTTCTTTCCCCTTCAAGGTGAAAGTTTAATGTGGAGAAATGCCAAGTGATGCATTTTGGGGGGAAGAATGAGGAGAGGCAATATAAGCTGAGGTGAAGGGATAGAGAGACCTGGGGTTCATATAGTAAATCTTTGAAGGTGGCCGGACAGGCAGATAAAGCTGTTAAAAAAGCCTACGGGATACCAGGCTTTATAAATAGGGGCATAGAGTACAACAGTCAGGAAGTTATGATGAACCTTTATATAAAACACTGGTTAGGCCTCAGCGAGAGACTGTGCTCAGCTCTGGGCCCCACACGTTAGGAAGGATGTCAAGGCATTGGAGAGGGAGCAAAGGAGATTGACCAGAATGGTACCAGATGAGGGGCTTCAGTTATCAGGGAGGCTCGAGAAGCGAGGATTATTCTCCTTGGAGCAGAGAAGGTTAATAGAAGTTTTCAAAATTAAGAGGGGATTTGATAGGGTGAACAAGGAGAGACTATTCCCACTGGGGAATTTAAAATAGTTGTTCAAAGAATCAGAAGGGAGGTGAGAAATTTTTTTACACAGCGAGTTGCATTGTCTGGTGGAAGCCGATTCGATAAAAACTTTTAAGAGCGAAATAGATAATTATTTGTGGAGGACAAGTTTGCAGAGCTATGGGGAGAGAGGGGGGAGTGGGGTTGATCAGGGCTATGGGGAGAGAGGGGGGAGTGGGGTTGATCAGGGCTATGGGGAGAGAGCGGGGAGTGGGGTTGATCAGGGCTATGGGGAGAGAGTGGGGGAGTGGGGTTGATCAGGGCTATGGGGAGAGAGCGGGGGAGTGGGGTTGATCAGGGCTATGGGAGAGAGCGGGGGAGTGGGGTTGATCAGGGCTATGGGGAGAGAGCGGGGAGTGGGGTTGATCAGGGCTATGGGGAGAGAGTGGGGGAGTGGGGTTGATCAGGGCTATGGGGAGAGAGGGGGAGTGGGGTTGATCAGGGCTATGGGGAGAGAGCGGGGGAGTGGGGTTGATCAGGGCTATGGGGAGAGAGGGGGGAGTGGGGTTGATCAGGGCTATGGGGAGAGAGTGGGGGAGTGGGGTTGATCAGGGCTATGGGGAGAGAGGGGGGGAGTGGGGTTGATCAGGGCTATGGGGAGAGAGTGGGGTTGATTTAGAAGCTCTTTTCAAAGAGTCGGCAGAGACACGATGGGCCGAATGGCCTCCTTCTGTGCTGTATAATTCTATGATTCCCCGCAACCCTCACTCTCTGCTCCTCGCCCTTTACCGGGTCCTGTTGTCGAAAGGATAGACTATGGTGTCAGCACATTTATGGTGGAAACTAAGCTTCTGTGGAGTGAGGAGACCAGCACGGTTCAATGTAACTTAAATGTAAAATGGGGAAGGACTGTCTGATTGGAGGGAAGGAGGAGTTTGGGGAAGGAGATTGTCACCATCTTCTTGACTTTTTTACCGTACAATTCCTTTTCAGAAAGCGCCGCCTTTATTGGCGCGTTGGGTCCCCTTTGTTGCTGTGGCAGCTGCTAACTTTGTGAACATCCCAATGATGCGGCAACAGTAAGTTATTGATATCTCCTGCCCCTCCGCTTCCAGCCAACTATCAGTGAGGGTGGGGGGGCGCGGGGTCCTGATCGGGAGGATTAGCAAGTCTGCTGTTCAGGTGGACCTTAAACATCCCGCAGCGCTATTTGAAAAGAGAAGGGAGTTTCTCTCTCTCTCTTGGTGTCCTGGCCAACAATCCCCCAAATAAAATTGGTCACTCACTCCATGGCTGTGCACATTTCTCTCACAAATACCCAGTTACAGTATATCCTGTGAAGTGCTCTGAGACTCTGTACGGCGTGGAGGAAGCTCTATAAATCCAGGTTGCTGTTGTTGTCTCGATGATGTGAGAGGCGTTCTATCAAATGCGAGGATTATCATTATAAATTGCTGTATTCACCCACAAAATACACAGAGACACACCAGTTTATAGTATCTCCTGTGAAGTGTATTGTGTTAACACGATTAATTTACAAGGTTATTGGGAAAGAGGGGGTGGGGGGAGAGCGGGACTAGTGGGATAGCTCTTTCAAAAAGCCACCACAGGTACCATGGACTGTAGGATTCTATGATCCTGAGATGCCCTGATGGGTCCCTCAGGTTTCCTGGGTGCCTTTGCTGTATTGGAACCAAGAAGAGGTCAGAACAGCACTGAGTGTAAAATAATCGTCTAACACCTTCGAGCTAATTCGTTTTTTTTTTCTTTGGGGGCGTTTTAGGGAAATAATAAGTGGAATCTCAGTGACGGATGAAAATGACAATAAGTTGGGAGTATCCAGGGTAATGTCTGCACTTTAATGAAAAAACAGGATGAAGCATTGAATCACTAGGAACGTGTTGTACGATTATGTAACTCCGTTACATGTCAGTGAGGGGAGAGGCTGCTTACATCCTTGGGAATCTGTGATATCGGGTAACACCCATAAAAAAAAGTATTTATGTCCCCATGTGGGGCGCTGATGTGTGGTTGGGGGGGGATGTGTGTGTGTGTGGGGGGGGGGTGATGTGTGTGTGGGGGGGGGGGTGATAAGTGTGTGTGGGTGGGCAATGTGTGTGTGGGGGTGATGTGTGTGTGAGGAGGTGGTACGTGTGCAGGTTAGGGGAGCGCACATTGCTTATGTTGGCAGTACGTGCGCTTATTCTATGAAACCAATGTGTATATGTCACTGGGAAAAAAAGTTAATTTAGTTTATTTTTCATTAATTCCAGTGTCAGACCCTGTCTGTCTTTGTACATTTACTCTATATGAAGGTTAGATATGAAATGCAAATGATTATTTTTGATTCATAAGAGAATAATTATGCCCTTATGTGTGTGTGTAATCATGCAGATGTTAAATGGTACTGACCCGTGTATGTCATACCATAAATAGTACATGTCTATGAATACATGTAAACAGTACGTGTCTATGAATATACACCGTAAATGTTTTACAGAATGTTCTGTATGTTGCGTGGGTAAATGTGGCATCTAATCTTCTCTCTCCCCCATCTATCTTTACCTTAAGACCTACCTCTGACTGCGCCTGTTTGTGTGTGTGAGGTGTGTGGTGCGTGGGTGTGTGGTGCGTGCGGGTGTGACGTGCGCGCGGGTGTGAGGTGCGCGCGGTGTGAGGTGCGCGCAGGTGTGAGGTGCGCGCGGGTGTGAGGTGCGCGCAGGTGTGAGGTGCGCGCGGGTGTGAGGTGCGCGGGTGTGTGAGGTGCGCGGGTGTGTGAGGTGCGCATGTGTGTGAGGTGCGCGTGTGTAAGGTGCGTGTGTGTAATGTGTGTGTAAGCATATGTGTGTGTATAAGGTGTGTGTCTGTTTGGGTGAAGTTGGTAACACTCAAGAAACTGAGCAAGTTGCTCTGACCTCTCTGGTTGTGATGTGAGGCTGATATGCTTTTTCCTTAGAAAGCTGCTATGAAGGGTATCTCACAAGTGGTAATCTCTCGAGTTGCCATGGCTGCCCCAGGAATGAGTAAGTGTCTAAATCAAACCATTTTGCAGATAGTTCAGATCTGGGTATCAGAAGGAGGACATGCCCTGCAGATGAGAGAATAAACTACGGTAGTGCAGGAACAAGGAAACATCATCTCTCTCTCCGGCTTCTCCTGCTATTTAAGACCACAGCATGTTATTTTGATCGCTGTTCACTTTTGAACACCAAATGTGTATCTGTCAAGAAGCCAGCTAGGCTCAGTTAGTAGTGCTTTCGCCTCTTGAGTTGGAATAATGTACATTAACATCCTTGTTTATACTCCAATGTTACGCTGGGGATGTGTGTTGCATTGTTGAGGTGCCTTTGGATGTAATGTTAAACTGAGGTCCCGTCTGCCTGTTCAGGTGGATGTTAAAGATCCTGTGACTCTATTGGAAAAGAGAAGGGAGTTTCTCTCTCTCTTTCTCTTGGTGTCTGCCAAATAAAATTGGTCACTCATTCAATGGCTGTTTGTGGGACACAATTGGCTGACCTGTTTGGCCCACAAAATACACAGTCACGACACTTTACAGTATATTCTATGAAGCGCTTTGAGATGTCTCGACAAATATCAAATGCAAGGATTATCATTATTGGGGCTAATGTAGGCTGACTGGGGAGGGCGCTGGGCTGGGGAGGGCGCTGGGCTGTGTGGGGGAGGGCGCTGTGCTGGGGAGGGCGCTGGGCTGGGGTGGGCGCTGCGCTGTGTGGGGGAGGGCGCTGGGCTGGTGGGCTGGGCTGGGGAGGGCGCTGGGCTGGGTGGGCGCTGGCTGTGTGGGGGAGGGCGCTGTGCTGGGGAGGGCGCTGGGCTGGGGAGGGCGCTGTGCTGGGGAGGGCGCTGGGCTGGGGTGGTCGCTGCGCTGGGGTGGGCGCTGGGCTGGGGTGGGCGCTGCGCTGGGGAGGGCGCTGGCTGGGGGGCGCTGGCTGGGGAGGGCGCTGGGCTGGGGTGGGCGCTGGCCTGTGTGGGGGAGGGCGCTGTGCTGGGGAGGGCGCTGGGCTGGGGTGGCATTGGGCTGGGGGGCGCTGCGCTGGGGTGGGCGCTGGGGGGGCGCTGGGCTGGGGAGGGCGCTGCGCTGGGGAGGGCGCTGGGCTGGGGTGGCGCTGGGCTGGGTGGGCGCTGCGCTGGGAGGGCGCTGGGCTGGGGGGGCGCTGGGCTGGGGAGGGCGCTGGCTGGGGGGGCGCTGGCTGGGCGGGGGAGGGCGCTGGGCTGGGGAGGGCGCTGGGCTGGGGAGGGGGAGGGCGCTGGCTGGGGAGGGGGAGGGCGCTGGGCTGGGGAGGGGGAGGGCGCTGGGCTGGGGAGGGGGAGGGCGCTGGCTGGGGAGGGGGAGGCGCTGGGTGGGGAGGGGGAGGGCGCTGGCTGGGGAGGGGGAGGGCGCTGGGCTGGGGAGGGGGAGGGATTGTCAGAATGGTGGCCTTGGGATGAAACCAAGGATCCATCAACCTGATCACAAAGCTGTGTGCGCTGTGAGTATTTATTCCACTTGTGGTTTGACTTGCGGGGGAAGGGAGAGAAACATTACAGTTTAACAACAACAAATGATATTTGTATAACGCCTTTCACATGAGGAGGGCTTCCCCAGGCGCTGGACAATCAAGGAAGTCGACCCTGAAGCCTTTTAACCTTTTAGCTGAGCCACATCCTCGCCCTAAACACTACCCGGACAAGGTTTGGCAAATGGGTGCAGACCAAGGTCCAAGGCACATTGTCAGAGAATAGGCTGGAGAGCAGCTCAGCCGCGCTGGGACAGGGCAGACAGAAGCATCTCATACCCCTCGCTTTGTAGTCTCAGCAACTCGTCTCCAGTATTGAGGCAGAAGAGGGAACCTTTGAACCACAATTGGCGTAAACAATGTGCCTTTTATACTTGACTCTTTGTTGAAAATTGCCTGTGGTTCATCGGTGACGGAGGTGGGGACAGGAGGGGGAGGGAAAAATTCTGAACTTGTAGCAGTCATCTCGTTCTGAACTGCTCTTGAGTGTTACTGGGCTTTTTGCAATGCTTCTGCTTGTCATAGCACAGGGCTTCAGGCAAAGAGAGGATTGCTGTAGCAACTCGGCCAAGTGGTCAGCGCTTCGGATTCATATCACAATCGATCCAACGCCTCTAATATCCTGTAGCTCGGTGGTTAGAGCACGCGCCTGGCCAGCTCGATCCCCGGCCGGGGCAGAAGCTTAGGCAAGTTTCCTTACTCCACACACCTCTGTTTACCCAGCAGTAGAAGGTTGTTAGTCAAATGGCGGATCGCTCTTCTGGGAATAATAATCACTTAAAAAAAGTAAATAAATAAAAAATAATAATTTGGTCACTCAATCCACCGTTGTTTTTGGGGCACTGCTGTGCAGAATTGTCTGACACCTTTCACTCACAAAATACAAAAGCACATTGGGACGACTCAACGATGTAATGAGGCGCTGTATCAAATGCAAAGATTATTATAACATTGAAACCTCTCAAAGTACTTCTTCTCAGCAACTTGGGACTGGGATGTCCTCCTGACATGAATGATGCTATACAAATGTAATTTTGTTGTTGTTGTTGTTGTTCTCGGGCATTTCTATCAAGCGCAGTGAAGGTTTATTTTGTTGCTGGAGTCAGTTTGCACACGGCAAACAGCCGTGAAGTAAATTATCAATTTATAATAATCCTTGCATTTGATACAGCCATTTATCATGATGTTGAGACGTTTCAAAAAGCTTCACAGAATATACTGTCAAGTGGATTGACTGTTTATTTTGTGGGCGAAATGCGGTAGCCAATTGCGCACAGCAGGTCCCCCAAACAACGTGGATTGAGTGACCATAATTTATTTTGAGGGGTTATTACCCCCGGAAAGCAAGCTGCCAATCGACTAACAACCGGGGTCCTACTGACTGCTGGTAACAACAACTTGCATTTTTATAGCAACTGCACGCAGTGTAGTGTCCCAGAGGGCTCTGGGTAAACAGTGGTATTGTTTAATTGCTTCTTCTTTTTTACAGTCATTCTTCCTATTGTGATGGAGAGACTAGAGAAATACTCATTCATGAAAGTAAGTGGAAATTCATAAAATATAATCCATGGTTAAAAAAATAAAACCTACAGAAAGATTAATATCTTTGAGTCTAACTTACATTTATACTCGAATTTGTCATGGTCTTAACCCCGAGATCTACCCTAAAAAATGTATGGAGACCTGTAGTAAAGTGTAGTGGTTAGCACACTTGCCTCGCAAGCATTCGATTATAATAATAATAATAATCCTTGCATTTGATATAGTGCTTTTCACGTCTTCTCGACGTCTCAAAGCGCGACTGTAAAGTGAATTGACTGTATATTTGTGGGCGAACGCGGCAGCCAATTGCGCACAGCAATGTCCCACAGACAGTCGTGGATTGAAAATGACCAATTTATTATTGTTTGTGGTTTTGGAGGGATTATTATTAGGCTCTGTGTGGAGTAAGGAAACTTGCCCAAGGTTTCACCCTCTGCCTGAAATTGAACTCAGGTCTCTCACTTCCAAAGCGAGTGCTCTAACCACTGAGCTACAGGACCCCCAGGCATGGTGTCCTTAGGCAAGTTTCCTTACTCCACATGCCTCTGTTTACTTTGCAGTAAGTGGGAACCCGGTTCCTAGTCGATTGGCGGATTCCTTTTCTGGGGGTAATATTTTGTGTGATACTGCTGTGTGCAGTTGGCTCCTGTGTTTCACCCACAAGATACACACTTTGCGATATATCCTGTGAAGCACTTTGAGACGTCTTAACGACCTGATAAGGTGTTATATCAAATGCAAGGTATATTATACAATTTGCTTGCAGTCACTACATTTTTATCGTGAAATGCTTTGAGAAGCTGCAACAATGTGATATGCGTTTTTTCAAATATAACTATTATTATGTTACTATAAGCAAATCTTAAAATTTAAGATTGTTCAGGATTTGGGATTATTTAAAAAATTCGGTCTAAATTTGGATGCCGTTTCTCTTTAAGAAGTGCAAAACCAGTTTCTGAAACTGAGATTGTTCCGAGAAGGCTGTTCTGAAATTCTGTTGTATCCTCCATGGTCTGATTTGACTCTCTACCCCCCGTCTTCTCTCTAGGGGGTTCTCACTGAAGACAACCATCAGT